TTTAAAAGAATATTTTATATTGAATATTGATATTTTAATTCAGCAAGGATGCATTAAACTACAGTAAAGACATTTAAGATGTCTGGAGTAATGACTGCTGAAAACTGAAAATAAATACATATTAAATTAAGTCGTTAGAATGAAAACTCTTAATAGTAAATATGTGTTCCCTAAAGTGTAACCAATTATATATATTCTTGCCGAATGGAAAAAATAGGTCTGGATTTGAATCCCGTTCCCTTTCATGGTAAATAAAAACTATACCACCACCACACTGTCCTGTTTTACACTTTTTTTCTGAAAGTGGCATTCAATATCTACTTGGTTTAAGGATCTGAGGGGTTTGTCAGTTTGAATGGGCATGCCGCTAGTGATTGTAACTTCTCCATCTTGGAATGCATGAGCTTTTTTTTCTCACTGTCAATGCAGTCCATCCATGAATCACAATGCTACGTTCACCCCAACGCCTATTTCAGTTGTTACAACCTGACAAGCGGTTTACAACAACTCTCTCTTTTGCCAGCATGTTCTTTTCTACAGCTGACCTGCTCACCTCAGATCTGCAGCAGGCAGCGCAGTGTGCTTGATGTGCAGGTCAGTATCGATTTTTAGGATTGAGAGAAAACAGCAGCTTTATCGTTCTCCATCTCCCCCTCTTTGGCTTCCTTCCAGACTTCACACATCTCTTCAACATTATCCCTTGTTTATTCCTTTTATATGTGTGACTTATAGATTTCCTTCTGCCTAGCTCTTATCTATGGGTGTTTCTTTTTTTTAGCATTGGAGCCTGTAATGCATGCATACTCTGATCATTCCAGGTCATGAGGGCACATCGTCTTATTTTAACTACCGATCTGTGGTGGAAAACATTCATGTACATGCAGACTACAAAAAGAAATTGGAGACATGGGCCGCATACCAATTTGCATTTGTCACTGACACTGTGATAGATTTAAAATGAGGAGACACAGCCTCCAAAGATTTTAATAATAATTAAATAATAATTAAAATACAAATGTTAAAAAAACAACTGTCTTGTCTCGCTATTGTATGTCAAAACACAATTTTAAGATGTATCAGTTTGTCACAGATTTTACGTCCCTGCCTCATATACTTAAAACTTTCCATCTCTAGTCAAGTATGCACTTTTAGTGCAGAATAGAAGTATGCAAACTGGGGTGCAGCTTTGAGCTAAACTTTTAATGACAAGAATGGCTTGATTCAGTCTTGTCTATTCGAACACAAAAACATATGCTCTATGCAAACATCTGGCTCGATCAGTGTTGGTGGTGACAGAGTATTTTGTCTGCTTGAAATCTGCCCATGCACACTTGAAAAAATTATATTCAAGTAAGAATATTTAACTTACATGGTCTCATCATTGAGGAACTCCAGTTTGCCAGCCACCTCTTCATAGTCTTCTCCAGCTTTGGCATTTCCCTCCGTAGTGTGGTACGGTACTGCCACCTTCCCCCTTGCTCCAGATGTTCTGTGGACCTTCACCTGCATGATGCCCACACTTTCGCTCACTCGTGTGGAATTGGTCTCGAACGTGAAGATCCCCGCGTGGTCATCATCGTAAATGGTCACCGTGGCAGTGTATGTGTTACCTAGGGCAGCTTTGGGAGGAACGTGGCTGGACCCTATAATGCTGTTGCCTGGCGACACCGCATTAGGGTCGAGGACGGAGACCTCGGCACGGTGGACAACACGAGGGTTGCTGAGATGTACGTAGAAATGCTCATCTTCTTCGAATATGTCATCGTCAATCACACCGACTGTCAGCTCCTTCACCGTCTCACCCGGTTTAAAGACCAGAGTGCCCTCGGCGAATTCATAGTCTGATCCTGCGTTAGCAGTGCCATCCTCTGTGCGATAGTCAACCTAGACACAGGAACAGTTTCTACTGTCACACAGCTAAAGTGCTGAGGAAGCAATGCTATCTTTTTATATTCAGAAGAGGTACAGTAAGTGTATGGGGAGGGGTCTTATACATAGAGTCTGTTAAAATGTAACCTTTTGCAGAGGATATGTAATAATTTAAAGATTCAAACGACAACAATAATAATAATAATAAATAACAATATTAATAAAAAATAAACTATAAATATTAATCATATTATATAATAATAACAACATAATAGATATTTAAATTGTATACATTTATTATAATTATTATGCTGTATTGTTGTTGTTATACCACATATAATAATAATAAAATAATAATAACTTATTTCTACAATACACTGTATGGGTCAAAATTATCGATTTTTCTTTTATGCCAAAAATCATTAGGATATTAATTAAAGATCATGTTCTATGAAGATATTTTTGTAAATTTCCTACCGTAAATATATCAAAACTTCATTTTTGATTAGTAATATGCATTGCTAAGGACTTCATTTGGACAACTTTAAAGGTGATTTGCACCCTCAGATTCTAGATTTTCAAATAGTTGTATCTCAGCCAAATATTATCATAAACCATACATCAATGGGAAGTTTATTTATTCAGCTTTCAGATGATGTATAAATCTCAATTTAAAAAAATTTACCCTTGTGACTGGTTTTGTGGTCCAGGGTCACAATTATTATGTGGTTTTATAATTTTTTATTTAATAATATAATAATAACAATACAAAATCATATATAATAAATAATAACAAAATTATAATTTTTATTGAATTCTTAGTCTATGTGGTATTATTAATATTAATAATAATATAATATATTTCACCGTCTTATCAACACCACTTAAAATAACTGAAACTAATTTCCTGTGGTAAACGTCACAATTGAAAGGTTTAAATAATAAAATGAGCTAATCTGAAATCTGTTAAAACAGTGTCATTTAATTGCTCATCTCCTAAGTGCTGTAATTATTTAAAATAGCTCTGAGAGTACATCCTCGCTGCTGGGAATCATGTAGGTTTCTGGCCTCAAAATGATATCACATCCATATAATTAAAGTACAATCACAGCAATGTAATCACAGTACTGTTGGGTAAAGACAGCGGAATCATTACCTTGACAGTGCAGCCGCTGTCTCCACCATGTCGGGTCACAGAGAGTTTTAAAGAGCCGCAGTTCTCAAAGCATTGATAATGAGTGGGCTCAAACTCCAGGTAGATGGTGTGAGGGTCTTCTTCTTGGGCATTAGCCTCATGGCAGCTCACCACCTTCCTGGCTTGGTCCGCAGCATGCTTCTTGAGGATGTTCCCCGCTCCGATCATCATGCGAGTAGCCTGGATGCGATAGAAAGCTCGACTCTTCTGCTGTTGCACTAGCACTTGATAGTTCGCCATCTCAATCAGCTGCTCCATGTCCTTCTCCGGGTGTCTTTGCTTGAGTTCCTTCAACGTACGAGCCATCTCCCTCCTCGCCTCCTCTTCTTCCCCTCCACCTCCTTCCTCCACCCCAGCCAGCATCCCATCAAGTGCCTCCTTGTGGTGGGAATTGGAACCTTGGCCGTCCATCTCCATATCCATCTTGGTGAACATGCCGTCACCCTCCGTCTCAATGATGATCCCACGGTTCTTATCAGCACGGTAGCGCTTGTGGACGTATTTGTAAAAGAGCAAACGACGGTCAGCGATCCAGGCCTGAACCACACAGAGCGGAAAGAAGAGGAAAGTAAGCACGGCCTCCCAAACTTCCACTACACCAGGAGAAAAGACAGAGAGGATCAAGTAGAGCCAAATGTAGGCGAATATGCTCCAGGCTGCCGTCACAAAGAAGACCCTCAAGTGTTTGATTTTGCGTACCTCACCATCTGGGACCACGTAAACACAGAGGGCGATGATGATGAACATGTTGAAGGCAGCGCTACCCACAATTGTGCTCGGGCCCAGGTGACCAGCCTCAAACTTGTGCCCACAGACCTCAATCACGGATAACAGGATCTCAGGGGCCGACGATCCCAAAGCCATGAGGGTCAAGTTGGAGACTGTCTCGTTCCAGATGCGTACGGTCGCAGTGGTGGTCTCTCCATTGGGTTTCTTGATCGTTATCTCCTTCTCTTGAGATGTAATCACCTCGATGGATGACATGAACCGGTCGGCGATGATGGACATGCCCAAGAACATGTAGATGAGGGCCACAAAGTAGACGATGGCACGTGCCACCTTGTCGCCTACAGAGGGGTTCTGGGGGTTCCATACCGGCAGGACGACACCCTCAGAGCAGCTGTCCTCCCCTGAACAGTTCCCCGGGCTGCTGTGGGCGTCGCCACCGGCCTGAGAGAGATGGGCGAGCCCCAAGAGGAAGATCAGGAGGAGGAGAGAGGAAAGGCAAGGAGTTAAGGAGAAAGGGGTCGAAGGAAAGCGAAAATGAAGCATGGTGGCAGTGTAGCGGTAACTGTGTCCACCAGTCGCAGAGATGACGATCAATAAACCTCTGAAACACACAAAAGCACCAGAATATTCACATTGGTGAGAATGACAATTCAAAAAGAACCTGTTAAGTGTATCTAAATGTAACATTGACATTAAGAACAGCTTCAAAGTAGAGGTCTGCATTCCCGCGGGACCTGACGCAACTGAGTGAAGCTTTGAATTGCTGGGTGAGAGTGGGATGACAGTGATTTGTGCGCTGGAAGCGGGAGAAAGACATGACTGGTGGGACTCAAACAAAATATAAATATCTAAATTAAAGTTACTTAAAGGGGTCATGAACTGAGAAATCAAAATTCCATTGATCTTTTGATATATAAGAGGTCACTGTGCTATAAAAACATCATGTATGTTTCAGAACTCAAAACTCTAGTTAGTCTAAAAACAGCTTATATTGAAGCCAGTCTGCCAAAACAACAGCTTGTGGAATGTACAACTCTATGATGTAATAGTGTAGCTAAACACTGCCTCCGCAGAAGAAGATTGACGCCTGCTTCTACATCGCTGCCTGTTTAGCCACGTAGTAGGTAAATGACAAGAGTGGCAAACGCAGGTCTACACAGAAACCAAACTATAAGGATGCTCCGAAAACAACAAGATGCTGTGCAGTGCCAAATTGTGGAAAAAAACAATGTTTGCGTTGCCTTCCTTCTGATCCCAACATTAAGAAAGAGTGGATGAACTAATAACTTATGAACTCTTAGAAGGGTTGCATCTCAGAGAGCACAAACTAGTCAACCCTATAACAATATGATCATTCCTGACAAACTGTACCCATCTGACCACTAAAAGGAACGAAAACATAAAATGCAACAATACTTCATATAATGTGGAAATAAGACCTTATCTATTTTATATTGTATTCACTTAGCCTTTGAGTTTAACCTCTTAGTCACGTGTGAAAGATTTGTAATCTGTTTCCATGGGGGAAAAAAATCTAATTAAAGTTGTTGACATGTTATATCAAATAATTCACAATGATATAAGGAACCTTTTTTGCAGAGCGTTAAAGGGGCACAGGATTTTCTTTCATTGAAGGCTGTGAAGTTATCTTCTCTACTTCCTGCCATGCACTCTTTTTCTCATGCAATGATCAAGGCCACCATACTAATGTTCACGTATAGACCTTCTACACATTAATTAACAGACACAAGACAAAAAAGTTTGCCTGCTTTATTGAGAAAAAAGGCATGCTCTATAGCTCTGTAGACAAAGAGCTCTCCTACAAAGAAAAATTCATTTATATATTAAAGAAAACCCCCAGATGTCGGGAACACAGATGTCTTTTCAGTCTGGATAACACCATCCTTGAACACAGAATGAAATTCTACTTTATAAATCTATCAACTTCAATATGTGTGCAAGCTATTTGAAAGTGTGACATATAGCATATCTTACATACAGTTCTATATCAAACTGAAATATGGGGTCTACAAGAATATAGAAAATATGAGAAAAAAATAACTGAATCAGGAGCTGAATACAGGAGTTATGCAGATACACCCTAAAAATTCAAAGAAAAATTACAATGTACACTAACATTAAAAAGTTTGGGGTGGGTTTATTTATTAAGATTTATGAAAGTCTGCTTACCAAAAATGCATTTATTTAGGAACAAGATTTAGGATATATTGTAAATGCTGACAATCCTGCCAATAAATTAACTTTATTGTTTCCTGTCAGTGTCAAATTTTCTCTTTGGAGTGTTACAAGCTCTTGGTGCATAAAGAAGATCTGTAAAGTTGCAAAGACTAAAGTCTCAAATCCAAAGAGATATTCTTTATAAAAGTTAAGAGTCAACCACGCCTACCTAAAACGGCTCGTTCCAACACCCCTTCACATGTCTACGTCACGATGTGGGAAGATTTGCATAACGTCGCCCAAATGTTCACGCAAAGAAAGAAGGCGTAACTTTTATTCTCGCTGTAGTATTGTTGCTGCCACCGCCGCCATGTCGTGAAGACGCTGTGTGTTTCGTTTTGAAAGCGAAACTACTTTGTTTGGCCTTCCAAAAGAGGACGATATCTGCTGAGGAAATACATCAACTTCGCGCTGTG